GCCAATCTATTTTTTAGTTGCAAAAATGATATGGAACGACCCATATACTACATACACCCGAATTTAGAAAGAAAGACCCTATCTCACATCGTCGATAAAATAAGATGTATCTAGCTAGTAATCCAAAATGCACTTTTTGCTCGATTACACCGACACAAAAAAAAATGGTGTGTGCTTTTAACCAGATCCACCTAGGGACGTGTATTTCGACCCACTGAATACGAATATATGCACGAGTCAAACGGACCTCAGATGCAGATTCAGCGCGTCGAAATATATTTCGGTTGTTGTTGTTGTTGTTATAGCGGCTACAACAACCCCGCCCAGATCGGTTGATATCTCTGTCGTTGTCGTCAAGTTCCACTAACGACAGCCCTTAGAAGCGGACAGCCTCAATAGTGTCGGTTCACAGGGACAAAGGCGTTAGGGTTGTTGGGTTTTCCGGGCATAGGAAGAGATGTTTCGAGTCATGAGGTGTGTCTCCGCATGCCGGACACTCATTCAGTAGGTGGGTCTGGTTAAACACACACACCACTTTTTTGTGTGCCGGTGTTATGATGTACTTTATCGAATTATAAGTTCCCACATCGTTTTATGCAAAAAAAAAATATTTAGTTACGGCTTTTCTTGCATTTCTATACATATGAAGGTAACGATAAGTATGTACATACATACATAGGTACTCGAATTGAATGTCGTTGACAAAAACTGGTTAATCAAAAATTTACTTCTTAGTTTAAGGGAAAGATTGGTCCTTTTTAAAAACTTAAATTTATCTCAAAGCATAGTCAATTTTATTTGTAAACAACCAAAATGATTTAGTAAAAATTCAAAAAGTTAGAAAAAATTAAAATTAATTAAAATTGCATACCCATAAAATCACCATGTACATACATACATATGTATGTACCACAGCCCGCGACAAAAGATAGCACATCAACATTTTTACCAGTTTTGACTACTTTCCTTTTGCCTTTTTTAAGGTTTATTAATTTTCTATTAAAGTTCAGCTACTTATCAAAAAAACCATATAAATCCGAATTTCAAACTTTGTACAAAAATTTAAAAAAATTTCTCAAACTTTTCATCCCAATTTCAAGTACATATTTTAATTAAAATTTCTAAATTAATTTTTGGTATGCAGTTTTATGGTTTATTAAAATCTAGTTTAACAAAGTGAGGGTTTGTAGTTGCTAAGAAATCGCATTGATTTTTGATAATTTTTTTCTGACGGTGTCCTGCACCCCTTTTCCATATAAAAATTTATTTTATATGGAAGAAAATGCGTGATACCGTCAGCAAAAAAATTATCAAAAATCAACGCGATTTTTTAGCAACATGAGATTTGCACTTTATCATAATAGAATCTAATAAGCTATATAACTGCATACCAAAAATTATTCTAGAATTAAAATTAAAGTGCTTGGAATTGTGATGAAAAGTTTGTGGAATTTTTATAATATTTGTACAAAGTCATGTACATATTTGTTAGATAAGCGACTATACTTTTATATAAAAATAATGAAAATTAAACAAACAAAAGATAAATAGTCAAAACTGTTCAAAATGTTGAGGTGCTATCGTTTTGTCGCGGGCCGTACATGTTCTACTGCATTGTGCCCCAGCTCAGTGCTTTCCTACTTCTTTGCTCGCTTACTATATTGTATGTTCTTTGCCAGTCTTGATACCAAAAAAGTGAGAATGTGATTTACATACAAACACGTTTTTCGTTTTTGGTTGACTATTTCAAGGGTTTGTTCATATATTGTAGAAAACTAAATGGTTTCTTACGTTACATACGTCCTTAAGATGTACATAGATAACAATAACGGAAACCAAGAATCGATGACCTTTTTGAACCATAAAGTTAAAAAAACCGGTGTGAAAAGCGGGGATTAGATGTTTGGCATATATTCATGAATCTGATCAAAAAATCGTCGGCGTCTTAAAATAGTGCATAGGCTGTAGGTAGTCCTGATCTATGTAGCTCCTTTGAATTTCTCGTGACGATTTTTATTCGGTAGCAAATTCCTACACATTGCCATGAATGTATGTATGGTATGAATGCTTGCACTTTTATGCCGCTTGGGTTATCAAATCGTTTGTTCAGTTATTTACCCTTTATAAAGTGCAGACGGTGCTACTTTACCGAGTATAAACTTTTCTGCAATCTCTGCATGGTGTCCAATAACAAATATGTACATATGTACCTATGTATATGTATATGAAAATACTTTAGGATGGATCACTCTCAATAAAAAAAAAAAATGGTACTCTTTTTCCATCGGAATTATAAAAAGAATTGTATTTAAGACATTCCTAAAAATAACTCGCCAAAAATTTCGAGATTTACGTGAGCTGGACCTATTTAAAAATACGTCAAAAAATAGAATTTTTATAAAAAAAAAAAATGAAAAGTCTGCGCAAAATGTATAAAAATTTAAAATAATGAGATTTTTAGAAGTATTTTTAAATCGGTCTGGGTTCCGAAAGTCCTAATATTTTTCCGAAATATTTTGGCCGAAGTCGTAAAATATAATAAATTTTATTATTCCGGGGGAAAACCGCAAGTTTTTTTTTATATGTGTATCACCTTAATGCACATATATATTTATGTATAATTTAAAGTTAAAAATAAATAAATTGGTATGCATTCGAGCATGAGCGAAAGATTCGAGTTCATAATAAATAGTAAATAAGATATTCATTTTGAGCCTGACTCTTCATTTTTGAATGAGAATGGCGTGTTTATGTTTTGTGCAAAATAAACCGACACGTGTTTTTATATTTCAGCATACCATGCGAAATTTACCAATTACAATGGTTTAAACTTTTGAATTGATGTTGTATTTTTTCAATGATTTATTATAAAAAATTAGAAAAGATCCACCAATTTCAACAAAATTTCATAAAAATTTCAACCTTTTTTATCGTAATTAAAAAAACGAGTATGCAGTTTTAAAGCTTATGCAATTTTCGCATAATAAAGTGCACATTTGACAATTTAATTTTTTTCTGACGGTATTAAGCATTTGTTTCCACATAAATATTACTTGCGTACCTCAACTTTTATGGCAGAAACTGGTAAAACTGTCAATAAACAAAATTTTTTAACATCGCCGTTTTTTACAATTGGCGATTTTCCAAGTTGTACGCAAATATACAGACAAATAAACAAAAATGCTTACAAAATTTGAGATTAAGTTATTTTTACTAAGGTAAAAATGCCGATGTATTTTACTTTTTGCTTATATGTATGTACTCAGCTTTCCATTTGTTTGGACAGATTTTACCAGCAAAAGTTCGCAACTTCTTACAAAGTGAGAACCTTAGGTACTCTCTTATTTGTCCTCTCATTTGCCAGAGAAACGTGCACGGGAACACTTACTGGCAAATTCTGGTAAAAACTTGCAGCTTCTGGCGAG